AACAACCACCATCCTTCTATCAAACTAACCACAAACGTGAGTGACAAAAGCGTAGACTTTCTCGATACCACAGTCTTTAAGGGAGATTCCATAGCAGAAACAACTAAACTGGATATTAAAGTGTATTTCAAAGAAACTGATAGTCATCAACTCTTGCACAAGAGCTCCTTTCAACCAAAACATACCTTTTCTGGTATAATTAAGTCACAAGTTTTACGATTTCATCGAATTTGTACAAGATCTTCTGATTTCAACCAAGCCTGTACGATTGTTTTCTCAAAACTGAAAGAGCGTGGGTACTCTAAACGATTTTTACGAAACATAAAAAATTCCACCTTAGCACAGATAGCAGCTAAAAACAGACTTTATGCCGAAGTACCTCCAGGTTTAAGAAGTGCTCCATGATTGTCCAGTAGATGCAAAACATGTCCCTTTATATCAGAAACTCATTATTTTGTAAGCAACTCTACGAATAAAAGGTACCCGATCCAGGAACATCTAACATGTGAACATTCGAATGTAATATATTTAATTTCATGCAAGAAATGCCCCAAACAATATGTAGGAGAAACTAAGAATAATTTACGAACTCGCTTTAATGCTCATAGGTCAGACATCAAATTAAAGAAAGACAAGCCTGTTTCTAATCATTTCAACCTCGACGACCACTCAATAGACGATCTCGCCCTAATCCCAATTGTGCGTATAGAAATTGACTTGCCCGAAGATGAAACTAATTTCAGATCTAGGCCTGTACATTTGGGAGAATCAAACCCTCCCTTCCCCGAAATCTAATTATTTGCAAAATATTAATTTGATATGTTCCTTTCAACATGAAACATCTAGTTTAGCGGCATGGGGTAATTCATCTAATCTACCAATGAATTTGAGAAAGATCACCGATATTTATATTGCAAAATACACCAAAGATAATTGGGAATCTTACGCTAAAAGAGATACGTTATGTCTCGGAGCTTGTTTGATAAAATACAATCAAGCAATGAAAGAAGTTGTATTTCAGAATATTTCCAATAATATAACGGCTCCTTCTTTATCTTTAAAGGGTTGGTATTATTTATATCATTACGATAAAGAAATGGTTGAAGAAGAATGGTATGAAACTACTAGAATGGTTCCGAAACACACCGAAAAAGAAAACGTAGAAAAAGTTTACTCACATACACACCCTTTTATAAGATATTTTATCAGACAAAGTATTAAACGAATAAAATGGATGAAATGTGTAATGTATTAAGTGAATACACAGAAACAGTAAGTGATAATATAATTGATTTATTCAAAGAATATAGCGCCAAAAGATAAAACGGAGGTTCATTCGAGACTTAAAAAAATAAAATGTACTAAACTAATGGCCTTTGATGCTAACGGTTTGTTCGCTTCCGCCATGTCGGATTTAGACAGCGAATATCCGAGAGCGGAAAGTGGTAGACCATTTCGACAAGAAGAAAATAAAGAATTTGTTAAGCTCTTTAATGAGTAGAAATTTAGACCTAGAACGGCTATTTTAAAAGTCTGGTTTGAATATCTTACCAACATGTTCTTCCAACCCATTCCAGCTAAAGATAAAATCAGTTTTACGAATAGAATAGGTAAAAAGGAAACTGACACTAAAATCAGGTTCAGAAATGGTTTTTGTTGTGACGTTTTAACATCGGTCGATATTCAAGAAATAGTGAAAGCCGATGGACGAATTATTAAAATATTAGATGGTATAGTTTACGAAGAAAATTTTAAAACTCCACCCTATAGAGATTATATTTTAATTTTGAGAGATCTAAGAAATAAATATAAACGAGAAGGTAATATCGTAGGTAGTAATTGCATGAAATTATTAGGCAATTCATTGTATGGTAAATCTAATCAGAAGGATATAACTACATCGAGACATCTATGGAGTGAAGCGACTTTAAAAGCCAACTTCGATTCACATCTTATAAACTATGAAAAAGTAAATGATAGTCAATATATAGTTGAGATAAATGAAGAAGAAAAAGAATTTGACTGTACACCTAAATCTACACGACTATCACCTAGTCATTTGGGATCATTCGTTTTATCTCACAGTAAAAAAATAATGAATAATTTTATTCACGTGATAGATGGATTTTATAAGCCTGAAATATACTATACGGATACCGATAGTTTATACATTTCGTCTAGCAATTGGGATAAATTAAATGAAGGTGGGTTGGTGTCTGAAAATGATTATGTAAAGGAAAGAATGATACGGAATT